TCGACATTTTCGCCGACCAATCAGAGGGTTGCCGATCAATGTTTCCACTATCGATGCGTAGCCCCTTTTACGACACCCAGTGATCTCACATTACTTCATCCAGCTGTACTAATCGTCAACAGCAGGTGTGTTCGGAGAACCGGATTAGCGAGCTCACGGTTAGCGCGATGATTTGGTCTTGGATGTGTCATTTGATGTTGGATGTAATAAGCCACGTACGAAGAACGGGCCCCAGTGCTATTAATTTAGGGCAGCAGTGGTATAAAAGTTGTGTTGGGCAGTGGTCTAATCTGCCTCTGCATTAACATTGCGCGTAGTAATTAATAAGCCTTTCATTTGAACCCAGTATTGTTATGCCTATAAACACTCCATGCGACTGTTAGCAAAGTTAACCATAAAATATTTTATTGACTAATTTTATAAAACTGACAATACTGCACACATTCTAAAAAGCCCCTGTGTGATTCAGCTGCACCTATATTGCCCTCATGCTTATATTATGTGTTTATAGATCAAAAGGATCATAGTCCATATCTGCTTAACAGGTGTGCAAGGGACACACAACCAGGGTCAAGCATGCACTAAATTGGACAAATAGTCTTTCTGTTGTTTCCCCCATAACATTATTAGAGGATTACATCTTATTGTCAAACTTGTAAACATCACCTCAGCTGATTTTGTTTTTACATGTTGGCCACACATGTGGTCTGTGGTAATCCTATTTTTCTTTACATGACACCAAATGTTTATTCCTTCTGTCTGTCTATAAAGCTGTCTGTCTTTCTCTCTTTTTTGCCTTTCTCTTTTTCCTCTCTTCCCTGCCTGTGTCTCTCCCTCCCTCCCTCCCTCCCTGCCCCAGGCAGTGTGTCTAGTTTCACAGAGCAATTGAAGGTGACAGGGACAGAGAGAGAGGGAGAGGGAGGGAGGGACAGAGGGAGGACACATCACAGTATCGCCCGAGGCTACACAACAGTAGAGGAAGAGCGAGAGATGGAGGGACAAAGAGAAAAGAGAGGGGAGACTCACGAAAGTACTCATAGGGAATTCCATACGCAGGTAATGGGAAAATGAAGTTACACACACACAAAAAGAAAAGAGTTGAAATGAGTGCGTGTGAGTGTGTGCCTCACTTGTGTTTGCCTCCAGGACACCCGATATCCCCTTTTTACCACTAACAGGCTCTTTTTTCTGTCTTTCCTTTTTTTTTGAGCACGAGCGATTCCTCTCTGCTCCTCTCACTCATAATATATGAACACATTATTGGATCCAGTCAGTAAGAGCAATTATAATGCACTCCCGTTTGTTTTTATTTTAACAACTTGATGAATATTTGTCGTGGCATTGTAACCATGGTGACTGCCTCCACCTCCACTGCCCCCACCCCTTCCCTTCCCTCCCCTCCCGGCCCAGTCCACCTCCCCTTCCCCATCCCCCCTTCAGCGCTGAAAAAGCAAGGGATGGCGAGAGAGAGCGGGAGAGAGAGGTGACAGGAATGAACTAACAAGATGCACTAAAAAAATGCATGTCCCGAAGCTACATGAATCTTTGCAGTGAAGCACGCGCCGTCACACACATGCACAGAGACTCAAACA